CAGTCCAGACGAGTGATCAGGAGACCCAGTTATGTCAAGTAGATGAGGCAGAAAGAGGAGAAACTGAAAAATGGCTAGGAGGAGAACCTACAACTCCCTCAGCCAGACTCCCTTCTAAACATGGGGGATGCCTCCCTCTGTGCCCTCAAAGTTAGGCCTGGGTTGCTAGGGCCTCTCCTAGGATATAACACTTAGCACTGGAACTCTCCTTCCTTTCTCTTCCCTTGGGTGTCTAGAAAATAGTGAACAAAGGATCTGGCTTAGAGCCAGAGAAAGGTATAGAGCAATCCATCCCTCTTCCACCTACAGACCTGAATTTGAACCCCAAACCACGGCTCTCCTTGCTGTCGTAGTTCCAGGCATTTGAAGACATTTTCTCTCTAAAACACAGGGGGTGTGTGTGTATATGTGTGTGTGTGTAATTAAACTTACACTGGCTTTGAATTTCCTCTCAAGGCAGAGATCCACAGTTTTAACCTGGCCTTTAACCATGGTCATCACAAAGACCTGCCTTCACCCATGGCCATGAGCCAGCGATTGTCCCCTGGGTGTTGCTGTCCAGGTGACCACCTCATGCCCACCTTTTCTTTTTGCCCCTATTGCATATTCCCTCTCTTCCTTCTCCAAATGGAAGGATGAGCCAGGTCACAATAGTCTTTCGCTGCCTCCCTTCCATAGAAAGGGTCATTGGCAGTCTGAGCCGTTCTTCAGAGTTAGCCTTGCAGATGGACCCTAAGTGCGCACTAGCCCAGTTTCTTAGTTTTGCTTTTTCCTTGATCTAGGGGACTTTTCCCTAATATACCAACAGAATTTCAGTATTTCTTAAAATGACATTTACCATTCTTTCTAGGCCTGGCATCAATTGTTACTGACTCTAGATGTACATGGAACTGCTTATCTGTGAATTAGAACTCAGCTTTATCTTTAAATTTATCAAACCTTTCTGTAGACTAAGAAAGCAAGCTCAGGACATGCGATGTTGCTACCTCTCTGGTGCAATGCCCTTTGTTGCCAGAAAAAATATTAATAGCAAGCAATATTTTATGTATGCTGCATCCAGCTGCTCCTTGACCCTAGGGGCCCGGTGGCATGATGGGATAGGCTACGTTGCTCAGCAAGGGTTTGAGCTCCTCGTCATCTTAAAGCAATTACTGATGTAACCGCATAGTCTGCATGGCTTTAAAAACCAGGCCCACCCAACCATGGCTACCACTGCTTCCTTCCAACTATCGAGCAGTGATGGATGCAATGTACAGAGATCAAATTAAAAGGAGCAGTGCAGACAGAGACCACTCTTACCGTAGAAAGAAGCAGTGCACCCTAAATCCTGGGACATAGAGATTCCATCCCATATGGTTAGGGGCATTTTTCCCAGTGGTTATATTAGGGAATAATATTGTGACATGATGAAATTTATTTCCTCTCTGTGAGGCCAAACACAGCTCAGTATTTGAAGTTTGATGTCTCTATTACTGAATTGAAGCTAATCAATTCAAATTCAGTTTCAGCAAGATTGATCAGGGGAAGGTGCAGCGGAGGAGGAAAGGGAGCAGTATTCTTACCGTAGATTGTCATCCCCGTAATGAAGATCACGTGCAGAAAATTGGTCAAACCAGTTTTTAACAATAAAGGTTCAACCACAGAACAAACCTATGAGTTAATTTCCTTCTTTAGAGGCAGAGCAATAACTTACTTCAAGTAAACGATCACCTTTTCTCAGTTGTCTGTTTTAAAAAAACAAAGCCTTGCCAGATAAAAGTAGGAATGGTGTGGAGCTTTCATTTAAACATAAGAAGCTGAAGGCTCCTCCTCTTGTACGTATGTAGTCTCTAAATGTAGCGTTTCCACTGGAAGTAGTGGTCTCAGTGCATAGTTCACATGCTAGGATCATGCAGCCGTGTAAATGTGCAGGCTTCCACACACGCAGATACCTGGCAGCCCAGAAACCTCGAGAGTTGTGTGACCAGAAACAGCCTCTGGCACTGTCAGCTACGTGCTTGGCTGGGGCTACTCCAGTCTTGGGCCCCTGTAATCAGCTGAAGTCATGAGGAAGTAAAAACTGGAATTGCTCCCTTCCCATCTTCAGGGTGATTCCTCACTCCTCTGTAAGCTTTTTTTTATTTTTTATTTTTTTATTTTTGAGACAGTCTCACTCTGTTGCCCTGAGTGCCGTGGAATCAGCCTAGCTCACAGCAACCTCAAACTCCTGGGCTCAAGCGATCCTCCTGCCTCAGCCTCCCGAGTAGCTGGGACTACAGGTATTAGCCACAGCACCCGGCTGATTTTTCTATATTTAGTAGAGACGCGGTCTGGCTCTTATTCAGGCTGGTCTCAAACTCCTTGAGCTCAAGAGATTCCCCCCGCCTCAGCCTCCCAGAGTGCTAGGATTACAGGCCTGAGCCACTCCTCTGTAAGCTTGAGGCAGATGTGCTTCCCTCTAGCAGTGGCCCATATTCGTGGTAAACAGCTCAAGAGTGCAGGCTGCCTAGCGTCACAGCCTGCCTCTGCCATGCCCTGTCCTGTGCCTTCATCTCCCCATCTGGGAAACAGAAATAATAATAGGACCTACTTCTCAGGCTTGTTACAAGGATTGATTTAAAAGATATAAATTAAGTGTGGACTGCAGGCCAGACGCCATGCTAGGTTCTGTGAATACAACCTCCAGCACGTCTGACACAACCCTTCCCCTCAGGGATCTTGGAGGACGCCATTATCTTTCCTTTCCAGTGGGCAGCCTGACAAAGCTTGCCCCTGCTTTGATTGACGAGGTATTATCACTGTGGATTATTGCCTCCCCCACACCTCCCACCTCCCACCCCTCCCACCTCCAGCCCGGTTCTCCTCTGGCTCACCACAAGAAGAAAGGAGCAGCCCTCCAGGGCCCTCCCGTGCCAAAGGCCGCCGCAGGGCGTGGCCCCCTGTTTGCCCCTGTGTTTCCCACACTCCTTCAGGTGGCCGGATGTAGCCACAGGGCCCGGGCTGCAGCTCAGCCGGTGGGTACTGGCCTGTGAGCGCCCTCTGTTGGCAGGACTGTGGCTGGAAAGGCTTTGCCACCCTGGCCCTCACAGACACCTGGAGACACTGGACGCTGCCCCTCAGCAGGGCTGTGCTGTTCAAACCCCCCTCTGCCTCCGTGACAGATACCCAGGATAAAGCTACCCTGCACCCTCCACCTCTGCTCTGGGCTCCTGCAGCTGAATAAATATTTTTCCTATCTCTTTGCTTGCATTCATGTTCAGTTACATATAATAAAAGAAAACCCTCTCCTTAATCAGCCATTTAACAAGAAAAAGACAAAACGGCATTCACATGGTGCGGGAACACTGAGCTTGATTTCTCTGAGAGATGGTTTGATAAAATGCCGCAAGTCTCCACAGAGGAGAGAATGTCGCGCTGCACCTTGTGCGGGCTCCTGAAGATGGAAAGTGCCACATAAGTGCTGAGCTATTCAGCTTCGGAGGCAAGAGAAGATGTTTATCTTATTCATCCCTCCTTTATTTGTAAAATCTTTTTTGTCTCCTGGCAGGTGATCATTTTTTTCCTGGAAACCAATTAGCTACTAAAATTAAACATGCTTCTCTTTAAATTAATCCTTTTCATAAAATGGTCTTAAAATTGGCCTTGGCTTTTCAGAGTAAGTAGCTGACCTAGTTGTAATTAGAGATGCGTTTGGAGTCTCCCTTTCTCCCATCTCTGCATTCCTCCATCCTCCCCCCCACTGCCAGGTGCTCTATACCTTTGGGCTTTCGGCCATGGCCAGCCTCATCTTGGCAAAGGCCATAAGGTCCGCTCTGGGACAGCCATCAGATTATCTGGTTCCCCTGCCCAAGTGCACCGATGGCAACGGGCAGAGTTTTAATCACTGTAAATTCAGGTGCTGGTCAGATTAGCCAGGAGAGAGGATGCCTGCTGGTTGTTTTGCAGTGATGTATTGTTTATGGGATTAATGTTCCAAATGGCCGAGGGTGTCAGCTGATATTTATTACTCTAAGCTGTCTCAGCTGTTCAGGTTCAGCAGCTAGATCCATGGCCACAGGAAATGTGGGACTTGGCGGTGTGGCGTGTACGGCTGATGTGTGCAAATGTGGCCGGGACCTCAGCAAGCATGTGTTACAGATGCAGGGAAAGGGAGTCACTGCAGGAGCCACCTTGGATTTTGTTCTGGGCTTCTGAGGGAACTCCGCACACCCCTAAATGTTGGGGAGACTGCAGGGAAGAGGAGAGTGTCCAGGTGTGGCTCCAAAGGGAGTTGAAAAGGAGGCCACCTCTGACAGGCCTGGCATCCGTGAGGAATCATGCCACCTACCAGGTGGCTGTAGGCATTGTGTGGTTTTTACCTCAGTCCCTCTCCAGCCTTCTAAAAGAGGGCACTTTCAAGGTCACTGTGCCTTTAAGGGAACCTTCTCCTCAGTCCCTCTGCTTGGTAGTGCTTAAAGCTACAAGAAACGGGCCAGCCCCTTTTAAACCAATCTGTAGAGCTGCAGGAAGAGAAATAAATGCACATTGCCCTAGTGTGTGTCTAGCAACACACGCTGCAGTGGGTTTGTTTTTCCAAAAAGAAATTTAATTTAATCCAAGTGTACACTGTCACACTGTAAACACACTGGGGCACCAGAAGGGTGGCTTATTGAATTCAATGTCCTAGCAAAGGTCAGCTTTTAGAAAAAGCCAAAAATGGCTGGAATCTTTCCTGATAGCTCTTCAATCAGGCCTTGGATCCAAGCAGATGTGTTTATTTTTTCAGAGGGAGTTCCTGAGGACCCATCTCAAGTTCAGAAGCTGGGCACACCCCCTCCCATCTTCCTCCTATGCTCTCTGAGACCTTCCTCCTGGGGAGGTCACTGTCCCTGGTCACCCAGGTGGGCCCCTGGGGCAAGCAAACTCCCTAGAGCTGATGGTCTGGGAGGGACGACCCAGGACCCCCCTTCCTGCCTTCTGGCTGGAGTGCAGTTGCCTTTCTTACAACTAACACTGCCTTTCTCTGCCCCTTCCCTTCAAAGGATGGCATGAACTGGGTCTGCAAAAATGTCAATGCAAAGAAGAAGTAAAATCTAGACGAATGGAGATGCAGGAGCTGTGGGAGCCGAATTCGGTCCTGAAAAACACTAATTTGCTTCTTTCTGACCAAATGTTTTTCCATCTGTGTACAGCTACAGCTGTTTGAAGAGAGGGAACAGCACAGTTTAAAAAGAATCCCCATTCCAGCAGTAGATTTAACTGATCTCTGAGGTTCAGTATCATTTTTCAAATAAAGGCATTATATTATTTCCTCTGCATAATTGAAATAGTATTAAATGTCTCAAAGCACATGATTAGAAAATGAGATCTTTTAAATGAGCAAGAGATTGCATTGCAGTTTAGACAATTCCAGTGGGCTTTTTTTCTAAAAAAAAAAAAAAAGAAGAAGAAAGAAAAGAGGAAGCAGCAGCTTATGCTGAGTTCATTTATTTACTGACCTGTCCCTTACGTTCCCTCCGTGGTTTTGAAACCACAGTGTTGCTGGTGCTGGTCACTGATTTTACCATCACCAACTGGGCCAGCCTTCAGTCTGTCCGGTGGGAAGCTGCTGGGGGGAGGGGGAGGAATCGAAGATAATTAAACCATCTCGTCATGCAGTAGGAGACCGTGGATGTAATCCTCACCCTCTGGTCAGGGAAAAAAAATCCTTTCTTGCAAACAAGTCATCACAGAAACATACCCTGTCCCCATCCCCCCATCACCAGCCACTCGGGGAAGGAAATTCTTATGACTTTTGACTGTAATGACATCTGGAATGTAAGGAGAGGTGGGAGGTTTAATTCCAGAAAAATTACAAGGTCCTTAAAAAGCCCTCACAGGAGGGCTCAGGCGAGCGTAAACAGGCTTTCTCCAGCTCAGTGGAGCAGCTAGCAGCCGGCTCTGGGATTAGCTGGCTTCTCCGCTGCCGTCCCATAGAAGAGGTTTCTAAAGCTCAAAGAATTCTGTGTTTAAATGATCACAATAGACCACTGCTATCAGATTTAAAAAATAAGTGCAGCTTTACCATGAACCTGCTCCACTGAGAAAAGCCAGGCAGATCGATTTTTAGAAGAGATCAATTTTTACAGTGCTGGCACTTGGCGGTGCAGGATGCTCGAGGCCCGAGAGGGCAGCTACTGGGGAGAACGTGGGGGTCTCATCGCAGGGGTCGCACCCCGGGGAAGCAGAGTCACCCCAGCTGTGCGTCGCCTCTGCTTCTCTCCAGCAAAATGGATCCTCTGTTGATTGACTGGGGAGGGATGGCAGAGGACCTCTGCCCCTCACTGCAAAAAGGGCTTGTCTCCCTGAGCATGCAGAAAGCCCCGGCTTCACACCCGGGAAGGCAGGCGGAGCATCCCGGCTCCTGAATTAAACTCTGTTCTGGTGCCTGAGCTCAGGGTTTTTCAGAGAATGAATAAGAGACTGTCCAGTGCCTGGTGGGTCCCGGGAGGCCAGCTGCCTTCTCATCCTGGGGGGTGGCCCTTCCCAAACCCACTGAGGCATGTGAGGAGACTGGAGAGGCCACCCCAGCCCCTGGCCTGCAGCACCCAGCTTTTTCTGGATGAGTTATTCAGGAGAGACTGAAGCATGGCCAGTTGCAGAGGTGGTCTGGGGTGAAAGTCATGAACAAAGCCAGCCATGGAAACGTTCCTTGGGGTTGCTGTGGACAGACCTGTAAGGACTTGCAAGACAAAAGAAAGTGAGGTTTTTTTAAACCTCTGAGCTAGTTGCTCCCTGCAACCTCCTCCACAGACCTCGGGCTCACCCAAGCTCCTCTCTAGCTTTGAACAGAGGTGACACAGGATAATAAAGAGTCAGAAACCCCCCTTCTACCAACCTGGAAGTAAATGTGGCTCCAGCCCTTAAAAATTGTTTTTCCTTCCAAACAGTGCATCGGGCATGTTATCTGAGGGGCGAAATGCCCGCTTTGAGCTCTGCAGTTTTGGAACACTGCAATAGGGAACTTTGACTCTGGCAGTGCATGGTCTGTGAAATATTTTCCTTCCTTTACCACCAACTTCGGGAACTGTTTTAAAGAGCCCTCCCAAGATGTCAGCTAGCAGGCAGAAGCAAGTCACCCTCCTCTGATAAGGGCCTCTGTAAATGTTCTGATTTGCTTCTCACCTGCAGAGACGCAGAAATGTGTGGACGTCACACACTTTTATCTTCCCTGTGAGCCCTAGTGAACCCTCCTGGAGCTCAGGAGGTAGATGAGAGAAGCCTGGAAGATGCAGAGTTTGAAAGCTCCCATTTGTAAAAACAAAATGCTTCTAAAGTCCCCTTTCCTCTCCCCAGTCCTGCCCCCTGGGGCCAAGACCTAAAGACAGAATTTGGAGCTATAAAGGGGAGACTTTTGCCCTGTGCACCCTGGATGGGCTGGGTGGAGGGTTGGGGGCCAAAGGGCAGGCGAGGCTTGGGACTGGCCGTGATGTGTGCCCAAGCTGGTTGTGGGAAAAACTCCAGTCCTCCCCTCCTCCCGACCTACCCCCGTGCCGTGCGGCTGCTTTTGGCTGGATCTCTGCGCCCAGTGCAATACACCCTTTCCCCTTCACTCTCCCTTGGTTACTATGGAAACAAGGGTGTCATTGATGTGGGCTGAGCTGGGGAACATGTCGGTGCACAGCTGAAAGTCTGCGATTATGCTGGCCGTTAGAAACGTGCCAGGGTTAAAGGAGTGCGCAGCTCCCACGACTGCTGGGAGGACACAGTCCTGCCCCCTCCCTCCCTCGCTCCATCTCCACTTCTCTCTCCTGGCTTTTGACAAATTTCTTTTTTCCCCTCTGGACTAAAGTAGTGGCTATTTTTGTGCCACTCTGTGCCCCACCCTCACTGTTGGCCGCTCCTTATCCGGCCTGGCCTGGAGGGTGACACCATGTCACCCTCACCAGGACTCGTCCCTCCATTCCCGTCAGAGTTTGCTTTGATTTCTCTTTCCTTTCCTTCTCCGGGACCAGTTCTTACTTCCTTTTATTTTTAGCTCTGCACTCTATGTGGTTTCAGGGTTCAGTCTGATCCATCGAAAGGTTCTTTTTTTATAATCCCTTTTGAAAATGATAATCAAAGGAAGGGACGTGGTGTTTGGTCATGTGGAAAACTCAATGTATAATTTAGATGTCTGTCAAAGATCCGACAAATAAAATTTAGCTGAAATGAAAGCAGCCTGGAATGTGTTGTGTTCTTTGCTGAAGCTCAGAGAGGGTTTGAAATGTGTTTGTCCTTTCAGAGGTTAGCTTTCCTCAAGGTGGTTTTTTTCAGAAGGATATATATAATACAACAATAACAACAATAATAGTAGTCCTTTATTAAGCACCCCCTACGTGCCAGGCACTGTACATACATCACGGGGCAGCGTTAGTCCCACTTTGCAGTGGAGGGAACCAAGGCCTCAGTTAAGGAATTTGCCCAAAATCACAGAGCTGCTAAGTGCAGGTGGCCCCCGGAACCTGGGTCTCAATGCTGAGCAAGCTGCCACCGCTGAGAATGCTGGCCTTTACCCAGTGGTCTCAGCCCCCAGCCCTTATACTCAGCCTCCCCCGCTCCTCCCCAGGGGTCTCCTCTGACCCAAACTGCTCCTCTGGGGTTCCCTGTCCCAGGCGTTGGATATCCTCTCTTCTCAGAGCAGCATAACTGTAGATTGTGTTCCACCCTTTGCACTTGTCCAGCCCACGGACAGGAAAAAGGGAACAGACATAATTAGAAAAGTTAGGGCCTGCAGGGAGACTTGCAACTACCTTGTACCTAACACTGGGTCCTCCTTTTAGGTAGGGTTCAGAGAGGGGAAAGACTCATCCAAAGTCACACAGTAGGTGGCAGAGTTGGCAGCAGTCCAGAGCTCTGCCCTCTGGAGCAGAAGAGCTTGTTGTCCCCTTCAGCAGTCTAGAGACACAGCTGCACAACTGGTCCCAAAGGCCCTGCCTTTGAAGGGCGAGCTGTTGGCAGAACCAGAGGGGAGCTAGAGGCAGGAGGAGAAAGAAGGTCTAGGATTGCCAGATAAATTATAGGATATTTGTCCGGGCACGGTGGCTCACGCCTGTAATCCTAGCACTCTGGGAGACTGAGGCGGGTGGATCGCTCAAGGTCAGGAGTTTGAGACCAGCCTGAGCAAGAGTGAGACCCCTTCTCTACCAAAAAATAGAAAAGAAATTATCTGGACAACTAAAAATATATATATATAGAAAAAATTAGCCAGGCATGGTGGCACATGCCTGTAGTCCCAGCTACTCGGGAGGCTGAGGCAGAAGGATTGCTTGAGCCCAGGAGTTTGAGGTTGCTGTGAGCTAGGCTGACGCCACGGCACTCACTCTAGCCAGGGCAACAAAGCGAGACTCTGTCTCAAAAAAAAAAAAAAAATTGTAGGATATTCATTTAAACTTGAATTTCAGATAAACAATGAATAGTGTTCAATTTGAGTATATCCATGCAATATTTGGGACACCATTATAATGCTCAAAACAATTCATTGTTTATCTGAAATTCAAATTTAACTGGCCATCTTGGTTTTTTGGTTTTGTTTTGATAAATCTGGAAACCCTACCCAGGACTCTCTGTTCAATAAAGGGGCAGTGCAGTACAATGAAAAAGTGTATTCTCTGAAGTCAGAGAGGTTCAATCCTTGCTCATCCATAAATCAGCTCTGTGATCTTGGGCAAGTTACTTCCTCTCTTCCAGTCCTGCCTCTTCATCTGTGAAATGGAACTGAAGTGGCAGGGAGATTTAAAAGAGATCTAATGTAAATAAAGACTCAGATTTGGGGCAATATCTAGCACATAGAAGGAACACTCTCTGCCTCAGTTTCTTATCCATAAAATTAGGTAATAATCATCTCATGGAGTTGTGAAGAGGATTAGATAAGTAATCTAATCTAAGCATAAAATAGTGCTAAATCATTGGCAGAAACTCGGGTACAGGCTTCCCAGGCCCTAGGAGACCTTTGCCCACCACCTTCCCTCCCATGTGTCTCTGTGACTTTCAAGGCAACAAATGATCCTGCCAGTGGCCAGCAGCCTTCCTGGAGGGGCTGACAGCCCCCTCCTCTCAGGGCTTCCAGGGCCACCCCAGCCACACCTCCTGCAATTAGATTTGTAAGTGGGAAAGGCTCTTGTCAGAGGCTCCTGATTGGCTCCGGGCAAAAACACAGTTTTAGCGCTCAGTGGAGCTGCATTTTAGGGCCTCTGTCTCTCTCTCCCTCCTCATTCCCCTTAATTGCAATCTGTTCTGTAATTTCCAACACTGCAGAACACAGGGAAGCTGCAACCACCAGGAGCAAGGTAGGGAGGAGGGA